TCGTTGTCGTTGTCGTTGTTGTTGTTGTTGTTGTTGTTGTTGTTGTTGTTTCATTAATTTTTTGTGGATGTTTCCTCAGATTTTTCCACAATTTGTACGCATTTATTTTGCTAGTTGTTAATGAGCCAATTTGTATCCCGTTTGTTAAAAATGTCCACCTCACTTTGTCCTTCAAAGGTCAAACAGCATGAGCACTTGCCCAAACGGACGCTACAAGACTTTGAAGATTTTCTCAAATGATGATGTGTTTAACTTTCCGAGCCGACTGCCAGGAAACATCCTGAATCCTATTGAGAGATCGTATCCAAGTTGGCCGGTAAGTATTCCTACATCCACACATACACACACACACCCACACCCACGTACACCACATGATCACTGACCATTATAATAATTATTATTGGGACTATAGAATGACTACAATATGGGACTATATGCGTTCTAATGCTTTTCATAATATTAATGACGTCATTAATATTTAGATGAAATATTAAAAAGTAAAATGTAGCTGCATGAATCTCTGGTGCTTTTTAATATCATTGACGTCACCAACAGATATTATGATGTTATTGATGGACACACCGAAGTTTTGAATAATAATGACTTCATCAATGTTTAGAACACATGCTTTAATAAATATTATGACGTCACGGTTGTATTTTTATTTTAATACAAGATGCATTTGTTTTGCACACTGACATAGTACAGCTATTTTTTTTTATTGTCAATAATGTATTATTTACGATATAATCTGGTCTCGAAAGGTCCACTGATCAGTCTCAGATAATACATACTCCAAGTATCGAAATGCACGATGGCGGGCGTGCATTTCGATACTTGGAGTATGTATTATACTATCTAATCTGGTCTCATCTGATATATTCTTGTATTTTTACATTTTATTTATAAAGTTTCGTTTTCATTGATGCACAACCAAGTTTTCTAATTAGTTAGTCCTGGTGTATAATCTTATAACTTCTCAATCAGTGATAATTCTAATGATATATTTTTCAGAATAACTGAACGCAATGCCCTCCAATACGCCTACCGTTTAATGTTAACTATATAACAGACTATGCCACTTAAATTAACCAATTGAATCACTTAAGTGTGTGCAATGCCTTGTTATTTAAATATCGGCTAGCAACATCGATCAGACTTAAAAGTAAACAAACATCACTTTAAACACGTGGCAAGTTTCCTATATTTTAATTGAGACACAGACTCGTTCACCTGAAGTGTGTTCTTGCACGAAGTCTTCAATCACGGTAATAAATACCCATACTAATGACTAAAGATGCTGTCGGTTTGTATTAATCATTATTCTGTAGATTTTCACGGACGATCTACTCCTGTTATTTTTTGTTTTTATATAGGGAAGTATACGAATAAAGATTGAAGTTTGGGATGACGATGGTAACACTGATGACAAGGTTGATTACTATGCAATTAATGTAGTTGTACCCGCAGCAAGTGATAGCAGTCTAGCTACAATTAACACATACAACCTGAATGGAAGAGGCACCTCAGCGTAAGTAAATTCTAATAATAATAATAATAATAATACCCAAACATTTATAAGGCGCCAATTCCAAGTTGAATGATCAAAGGCGCTAGCGTTATTACCCCTGGTCACTGGATAACGTACAATGGCAAACCAGCACGAAGTGCAACCTTCTCTGCTGCTCCCTGGGGTGTCTCCTTAGTCGTTCGTTACTTCTACTATAACATTTTATATATTTTTGTAATGAATTTTAATATATTTTTGTGATGATATCTAAAGTATTTTTGTAATGAATTTTAATGCATATTTGTATTGTATTTTAATGTTTGTTTTTTTTTTTGTAAAATTTAAATTTTGTTCCAATACTTTAATCCAGCATCTGCTGCTAATGTATATTATATGTGAAGTGATTAATAAAGATACTGATATAATTTATTACATAAAACACAAATGTTTATTTATTCTGTATTTAATGTGATAACTTTGAGTAAACCGTGCAGCAGTTATTTCATTAGTAGATCATATAATAACTCCCTGCATAAACAAAAAAATGAATATTAGAAAAAAAAACCAAATTAACAGTAATTATTAACTATTAATGACATTTGTAGGGTAAAAGCTTACAATAAAAAGTAAATGTAAGTTTGCTTTCAACTTTTATAATTTTTAAAGGCTTAGTCTATTAGCAAAACACCTTTTTCGAAATTAAAAAGTCCTAGTATAATTTTTTAAAACAATATTGTGGTATCTGTTATTACATAGCATTACGTAACATTTAATTGTCCAAGGACCTTACAATTATAACATTTAACAAGATTTCCGTTTCTCGAATATTCAATCACCTATTAGTATTACATCATCACAAACCGTGTATACATAGGATCTGTCATCGTGCCATTGAGGAATTGATTAATACTTTCTTGGTTGGGTTTCTAAACGGCATAAATAAAGATTCATCAATCCATACTCTGTGGAAATGAAAATATCCTGATTTATCTATCCTTGATTTGCTGTAATGCTGCTTGTAAACCCTTAAGTCCTGATTCACACTAGATCGATCTAGACGCGCTGACGTATACAAGTAGTATTGTTGCTTGCAAGTTGATGCTAATGTGAATACATCTTCACTTGGTTCACAAATAGCAAGCTCCATAGGCAATAGGTGATCTTTGCTCTCTTCTTGTTGAGCTGTGTCGTTTTCCACTAGACGAATTTATTCGCGCGAATCGAAGGCGTCGGTTCGGTAGGAATGTGAACGCGCATGCGCATGAACCGACGCTTTCGAATCGCGCGAATAAATTCGCCAAGTGGAAGGCCGGTTCCCACTAAAACTTGTCAAACGAAAGCGTCGAGCGTCACGCGGCAAGCGAAGCGAATCGCGCAAAGTTCACTTTTACTTGCGTTCGCGTAAACGTCTATCGTAAATGCCCACATGGAGTTATTATAACTCCATGCTTCCCAGTAGTTCACACAGAAAATCAATGATGGTGACTGCAAAGAAGTCCTAGGATTTCTTGCATTTGAGTCAATACTGGTCTGAATTGGACAAGCAGCAAATTTTGCAATATCCTAGTCAACAATAGGTACCACTATTGTAAAATCTGTTGCTTCTCCAAATTGTTGTCATCATTCTGGATTATTATTGTAAACGTACATGTTTGAATGAATGAATGAGTGTGAACTAAGATTTACAATTGAATATATGACTGCCACGCGAGAACGGAATTGTTTGAACATTCAAGAAACGGATGATCTATGTATTTTTTTCACCAGTACAAAGATAGAATTCAAGGTCTACTGCAATGCGGACTATTATACACCCAGTTGTGACGTGTACTGTCGTCCCCAGAATGATGAAGAAGGTCACTACTATTGTAATAAGGACACGGGCGAAAAGATATGCTACCATGGATACACCGGTGCCAACTGTAACTTTGAAGTTGATGAATGTGCATCTGATCCTTGCAGAAACGGTGGCACATGTACAGATCGGCTTTTGAGTATCACATGTTCCTGTCTACCGGGGTTTATTGGTAAGTATTGTATACAATCATGATGATTTTCTTTTACAGAATACTATTATATTCAGCACCTATGCCGGTGCATTACAAAGATAGAGAGCCATATTTATCATCGTATGGTACCATATCATATTCATACATCTGCTAAAAGGCCAATTCCTCCGAAAACTACACTCTACAGAACTAGAAAGTCATTTGTTTTTAATTCTTCTTCTTAACGTTTTCCATCTTTCGACATTACGCTTTCCACAGTTTGTTTCCGTTTGCTCTGTTCAAGGCAGGATGATTTATTATTTTGATTTTTAATATCATTCACATTTTTAATTCTAATGTTTAAAAGCTCCGATTTTACTCTTTTCCATTTTACTATTTTATATATTGGGTATATGTCGTTTGTAATTTTTTTTTCTACCAAGCATAACTAATTTTTGTATATTTTATATATAGACATAAAAAAAGTTCTTGAATATCGATTTTTTTTTAAACTGACGGTATTGAATGAGTCTAAATCAGTCTATACAGCTTCAAAGAAAGCATTTATATTAGATATATGTCGTTTATCATTTTTTTTCTACCAAGTATAATTTCTGTATATTTTATTTTAGGCCTAGACATATAAGAGTTCTTTAATATCGATTTTTTTTAAACTGACGGTATTGAAATGAGGATCAGTAGGCCTATTACTCTATACAGCTTCAAAGAAAGCTTTATTATGTAAAATTAACGAGCCCAACCATAGATTTATTAGTCCACTATATAGGAATCCCCGATTCTAGACATTTTCTATATTTAGATATTGTAACTTGTTAAAATTAAATGAGGAAATATTATTACAATTTATCTCTCTTTAAAATTTTCAGGAACTTTCTGTCACGTTGATTTAAACGAATGTGAAAGTTTACCGTGTATGAATGGAGCAACGTGTGAAGATGGTGCGGGCGAATACATATGCCACTGTCTTCCAGGCTACGAGGGTTTGGATTGCCAGGATGATATCAACGAGTGTGAAACATTTCCTTGTAAAAAAGGAAACTGCACCGACCTACTCAACGACTATTCATGCTCTTGCGCAGCTGGTTACACTGGGAGGAATTGCGATGTAGATATAAATGAATGTGATAGTGACCCTTGCTACAACAACGGCACATGTTTGAACGGCATTGATGAGTTCTTGTGCGCATGCCCACCGGGTTTTACGGATGATTTCTGCCAGACTGAGATTGATGAGTGTCTAAGCATACCGTGTCAGAATATGGGCACCTGCGTAGACCGCGTAGCTGACTTTCTATGCGAGTGCGTGCCAGGGTTCGAGGGCCACACGTGCGAAATAGACGTAGATGAATGTGCAAGTGACCCATGCTATAGCAACAGCACCTGTATTGATCACGTAAACGGGTTTAATTGCGCATGTACTGCAGGTTATACAGGTGTCTTATGTGAAAATGATATTAATGAATGTTCGAGCCTGCCCTGTATAAATAACGCCACATGTCTCGATAACATAAACGCATATGAATGCGTTTGTGTTGATGGGTTTTACGGGATCAATTGTGAAAATGAAGTCAACGAGTGTTTGAGTTCACCTTGTCTTCACGGAGGCTCTTGTGATGATCTCATCAACGACTTTAAATGCAGATGTGTACCAGGATATACCGGAATACGTTGTGAGACCGATATTAACGAATGCGCAAGTGCACCATGCGAGAACAACTCAACGTGCTCCGATTTAGTCAACAATTACACATGCACGTGTGTAGCTGGGTTCAGTGGCACCAACTGCGAGGTCAACATAGATGAATGTGCAAATGAGCCTTGTTTCAATAACGCAACTTGCGTGGATAATGTGGACGGTTATAATTGTGTATGTATGCCAGGATTTGAGGGCGATCTTTGTGAAATCGAATCTAATGAATGTGAGAGTAGCCCATGTTTTAACAATGCGACGTGTGTAGACTACATTAACTTCTTCTCGTGTATTTGTCTTGGTGGATTCTCAGGAGACACATGCGAGACAGAAATCGACGAATGTGATAGTCAACCATGTCAAAATGGAGCAACATGCTTTGATCACATCAATGCGTACACATGTAAATGTGTACTCGGGTACGCTGGTGGGAACTGCGAGATTGATGTAGACGAATGTGCTAGTCTGCCGTGTGAAAACTACGGACAGTGTATTGATTACGTTAACCACTTCCAGTGCAAATGCGCACCTGGGTATACAGGTGACGTATGTGAAACCAATATCGACGAGTGTGGAAGCATGCCTTGTTTCCATAACAGTACTTGCATTGATGGTATAGACCGTTTTAGCTGCAACTGTCTTGAAGGTTACGAAGGACACCAGTGTGAGTTTGAAATAGATGAATGCTTGAATCAACCCTGTCAAAATAACGGCACATGTATTGATAAACTAAATCATCACCTATGTGTTTGCGTGCCAGGATTCATGGGTAGTTTATGTGAGGTCAACGTAGACGAATGCGAGAGTAATCCATGTCAGCATGGTGCCCGGTGTTATGACTACATCAATGGATATAGTTGTGAATGTCGCAATGGCTACGCAGGAGCCAACTGCGAGGTGGATATTGATGAGTGCGCAAGTAGTCCATGTGCAAATGCTGCCACATGTAAAGATCTTATTGGCAGTGTTAACTGCACATGCACGGCAGGATTCACTGGAAGGTTGTGTGATATCAATATCAACGAATGCGAGAGCTCACCTTGCCAACATGGCTCGAAGTGCCATGATGACATCAACAAGTTTTCATGCGACTGTGCATTTGGTTATGAGGGAGAATTTTGTCAGATAGACATCAATGAATGCTCAAGCAACCCATGTCAGAACAACGCAACGTGTTTAGACCACGTGAACAGATTGGTGTGCACATGTTCACTAGGTTATTCAGGATCAACCTGCCAAACGAATATCGATGAATGTTCGAGTTCCCCTTGTTTAAATGGTGCAGTGTGTAATGATGTAATAAATGGATACAACTGCGTGTGTCTACCAGGTTTTGAAGGTGTGAACTGCCAGGTTAACACAGATGAGTGCGCCAACCAACCTTGTCTAAATTCAGCAACTTGCGTCGATCATATAGACAAGTTTATTTGTGAATGCGCACCAGGTTATGAAGGACAGCTCTGTGAATCTGAGATCAATGAATGCCTGAGCAATCCTTGTCAAAATAACGCCACGTGCAACAATGACGTTAATCGATTTGAGTGCAACTGCATCTCTGGGTTTGTTGGACCGATGTGTGAAATTAATGTAAATGAATGTAGCAGCTCACCGTGTCAGAATGATGGTGAGTGTATTGATTACATCGATAAATACAAGTGCGTTTGTCGACCTTTATATTTTGGAGACCATTGCGAGTTCAAGAATAACCCATGTCTGAATGCCCCATGTGGTACACACGGTGCATGCGTTGAAGAAAAGCATGGGTTCTACTGCCAATGCGATCCTGGATTCTCTGGCATCAGCTGTGAGAAAGAGATAGACGAATGTGCGAGCAGTCCATGTCAAAACAGCGCTACTTGTATCGATGCTGTCAATAGCTATTCCTGCACCTGCTTGTTGGGATTCAAGGGGGAAAATTGTCAGGAAAATATTAATGATTGTTTTGATGTGGATTGTAAGAATGGTGTTTGTCAAGATGGTATTTCATCATTTAGCTGTCTCTGCTTCGACGGTTTTAATGGTGAATTTTGTTCTCATAATATCGACGAATGCCAATCAAATCCATGTTTTAATAACGCCACATGTGTCGATGGAATCGATAGTTACCGATGCATCTGTGGAACTGGTTTTTATGGAGATCATTGTGACTTGACAGTACCGCCAACCACACCAGCTCCCGATTGGTGTAATGGGATTACTTGCCAAAATGGAGGAGCATGTCTACAACTTGAATCTAGTTTCAGGTAGGATACGTTTACTTAAATATATTACAATATTGTAAGTTTTGTGTGAAGGGTGGTATTTTGTGGAATGGGGCATGCGACTGTTGATTTTTCAGTTTCTAATGCCAGTGTTTGTCCCGTGAATGACTGCATACCGTGTTGTGAGGCTAGTTCTGTACAAGATGATGATAGTTTTTGTAAGTCAAATGATGGAGAGATGCGTTTTTGTAATGTACAGTATGTCTTCTTTTTAGTATTATTCGGTCTGGTAACATTCCAAACATTCTCTTTGACTAGATGTGAATGCTTGAACGGCTTTTCGGGCTCTCTCTGTGAAGTCGATGCTTGTCTACCTTCACCATGTTTAAATGGAGATTGTACAAAGATGGGTTCCAGTCCAAGCTTCAACTGTAAATGTCATACAGGTTTTATTGGAACATACTGTGATGCTGGTAGGCGAAAAGCGAAATCTAATTAAATATTAAAGCTGGATATTTACAAATTGAAACATCTAATAAATATTGTTTACTCTAGTCATGCTTCCCAAACAACAATAAAGTAGGATTTGCTTTATGGTAAATTTCGTCAGACTTGAATTATCACTCATAAAAAAAATTGGATTTCTTATTCTTATTTCAGATTCAAGTCTACATGCATACACAATGAATTTTAATGCAATCGTTGTGAATAAAACTGATATGGAGAACAAGATCGAATTGTTATTGGACCCAACTGGAACGCAGGACATTCGGATAGAGATTGTTGACATCATCGAGTCTAACACCTTGCGGAGAAAAAGGAGTGCAAGGTAGAATATCTGTACTTATTGGTTTTTTTCTCAGAATTGTAGTGGTGTAACTGGCCATTAGGTCAGAACACTAAATAAAGGAATGATGTCAACCTGCCTGCTGTGGTCGTGGCACCCCAGGGGGTCACCCAGGGGGTCAACCCAGGGGTCCCAAGTCTCCCGGAACTCCCAGGAGTCTCCCGGAAATCGGTATGGTTTCCTGCACGGCCGCAAACAAAGTAAAAATCTCCCGGAAATTCACTTATCTCCTGCAAATTCAGTAAAAAACAAATCTTTTTGTTTTATTTAGGCCTAAACTTTGGTTGCCGATTATTTTTTGCAGTCTGACAGTGCCATTTCTAAAGGTGCCTATTCTAAAAAGAAACGTCATCACCTCAACTCCAATCATAGTGGGCCTGAGGTGGGCGTGGCCCTTTTTGGTACCTACACTTTTTCTTCATAGAATATATAGCTCCCCTAATGTAAACAAATCTCCCGGAAATTAGTTCTTCCAACTTGGGACCCCTGTCACCCAGTCAAATTTCAAGGAAGGTTACACAACAGAATGAAGACTGTTTGTCATCAGTCAAAATCCCGACTACATTTCACACTTCGCACGACTGATTTTCCATTGTCCTAGAAGACGCGTTCCACATGCAAAAGTGTAAGATATAACACTAGCATCCCACACCAGGTTGAAAAAACCATTTTTCTGAGGTTTCACCCTCCAATTTCACTTAAAGCAAACAAGCCACAATATATTCATGACAATTTAACATTTATGTTTCAGCTCTTCCAAAATTACAGTCGTTTTTATAGCAAAACGGAACGGAAGTTTAATGAAAACGGAGGAATTGCGAAATGAGATTGCAAAATATACTGTCCCTGACATCAACCATGTGATGGCACCCTATGTAATTTCTACAGAAACACAAGCCAGCCCAGAACAAGCTGTTCAAGAATCAACATTTGTAAGTTTCTGACACCCCTTTATATTGAGACCACTTTATAAATGTACAGTACCAACTAACAATCTTCTATCATAGACAAAGTCAAGCTTATACTTGGAGAGAAGATAAAGGTGGAGGTGAACTGTATATCTACCAATTAAGAGGCATAACTAACAATTAAATAATAGTCTGCATACCTAAACTATGGAACCATGAAAACACTTGAGAAAACCAGACTGAGGCAAGAAAGCTAATTTGATTTTTAAATATTTGCTTATTCAGAAATCATGGATAAATGGAAACTGGCAGATTGTTGTGTTTGCTGCAGCCGGCTTTCTCATCATTATACTCGTTACTGTACTAATTATACTGAAGTTCAGAAGGTAGGTCTACATACAGTGCTAAATCTTTGTGTTTGTTTGAAAACTGAATTTTATACATTGGTACTTGAAAAAACAGAAATTGACTCATGATATCCATTTTATTCATTTTAACACTTAACCAGCAGCAAATAAGATACAATTATGGCGATCATTTCAATATTTTCATATTAGGCGGAGAAAAGAAAAGAATGTTAACCCAGTGGTTCGTGTTGAGAGTGTCAAATTCATAAACCCTGTGAGTTCCTACTTCGAAGGTGCCGAATACAATGGAGGAAAACCAAATATGTTTCCGACAGATACGCTATTAACTGACGTCATAGATCTCAACGCTGATGATCCTGCTTGGGATAGACCCGAGATGGAAATGTCAACGTTCAAACAACAGTAACGTGTTAACTTTCCATTTAACACATTTTTATACTTTGTTTCATAGTGGATATTTTCATGATTTATCAAATCCCCATATTTTAATGATATTGAGCTTTTTGAAAACTCTTGACAAACAACAGTAATGTGTTAACTTTCTATTTAACACGTTTTTATACTTTGTTTCATAGTGCATATTTTCATGATGTTGAGCTTTTTGAAAACTCTTGACAAACAACAGTAACGTGTTAACCTTCCATTTAACACGTTCTTATACTTTGTTTCATAGTGGATATTTTCATGATTTATCAAATCCCCATATTTTAATGATGTTGAGCTTTTTGAAAACTCTTTCTGGAGCCATGTGTTTTGGATCCATTAAGCAATTTGTGCTAATCTACGCCCATAGGGATGTGCCTAGACATAACTACTTGCCATTCAATCTCCGTCTTAACGGCTGCAAAATTTGATCATAAATAATTGTATATTTGTATATATTATTAAGTTATTATGTAATTGTTGAAATAGAATACGTATAAAATGACCTTAAGAGTGATGCTAATCCACAGGAGTAGTGTTGATTATTTTGTCGTATCAACGACACATCAGCAACTGAGACAGGAATTAGGCAGGCAAGGTCTTATATACTGTGCTAATAAGCTAACAGGTGCCGTAAAAGTATTTAGGGAGGAAAAAAGAAAAAAAATAAATAAAAATTTCAGGCAATTTTTTTTTTTCTAAATACTTTTTCAATTTTTGTAAGTTGTGTAATGTTTTGGCATATTTCTTCGTTTGTTGTTGTCATCATTGTAACTATAATAACTCATAAATGTAATTACTGTATTGTAAGTTGTAAATAACTAATTAATTTATTTAATTAAAATATTAAAAAATACATTTAATGTATTGGTGCAAAATATTTTGTAATCTTAGTAACCAATATTAAACAATGGGAATATCTATGTATACAGTTAGGGGTATACAGTTAGGGGTGGGGTGAATATATGGGTGGGTATGGGGGTATGTTATAGTTGACGCATCGATATTGATTGCTTAATACAGGCTGTAACTTTGTTCATATGCACACTAAACATTACTTCCAACGTTAGAGCACCATCGTTATGCGTACTGTATTTAGCTTTACTTAATATAGCTCTATGCATTTTTCAATGAATAAAGAAATGTGGTATGCAAATTTACTTACTACCATTCTCAAAATAGGGAGTTGGATTCGATGTTTCTGTAATACTCTACATGTGGCCATACAATGTGCTTTTCGTGAATACATGACTCTGTCTGTTTTATATCTTGCATGGACATTTCGGATGTACTGTGTAGGTTGTTTTACGTTGATACGTATGAAGCCACATGATTGGTAGATGAATTGATGACATTTTGTCACGTGATGTTCAGACTGTCAGTGAAATGTGGAGGATGTACTCTGTATTGACTTCAAAGACATTCCACAACAAAACTTCATTCATGTATTTTGGAGCTATTTTGATTTTATAATTAATGTAGTACTGTATAAAAATATTTTGGATTATCTAATTTTCTGTCCACACTAGCAAATTTTATGTGACAATTTTTTTGTGATGTGGCCATATATGGGCTAGATGGTGACATATTACACCCAAATATAGGCATATCACATTTATTTGTCACAAAAAAATTGACAGTGTGGACAAAGCTTTAACCCAACTGATCTTGTCACAAGAAGGGCCTCCCACCGTGCGTGCTTTTTTCTATCATTAAATGATTTTGTGTGTATATTAATGTGATACTCTTTTCTTTACTAGTAAATTCTATTCAATTTCTGTTCATACTCATCAAAACATGAACCATGCAGGCGTGGATCTGGAGTTTACCCTGACTATCGCACAGATGGGGTTCCAGGGTCTGTCTCAGATGGCGTAATATTTGCTTGTTCTGTCGCTGGAAGACAAATTTTAGACGTGGGGCAGGGGGGTTGTCTTAGGAATGTTTTTTTTTTCTAGATGCTTGAAAATGTACTTTTGTGCATTATGAGACGTCTAACAATTAATGAATGAATACACGCTGAATTCATAGTTTTTCCCTACTTTACTACGGACAATTAATAATTATGAGGAGGGAGGCACCGTAGCTAGGTGATGACAGGCTCCTGTGCAATATTAATTATCAGGCTCTTTGATGTGAAGCATCAACCGAGGCTATGGTTGGGAGTCTGGCAATATTATCGTCGTCGTCACATTTTCAATGCACACAGCCGGACAGCACACAGCTGAACAGAGTGGTGGATTCAAGGGTGCCTCCTCTGAATTTTACAAAATTGTAAAAAATTGGAGAAAAAAAGAAAATTATATTCAAATTTTAAGTTTTATAGTGCCACTTCCAGCCATCTAGAGGTGACATAATTGTAAATTTTCTTACCTCAGCCCCAAACATGCTGGGGCTGTGGTGGTATAAACCCTCCATCTGTCAAAGTCCCTCCCTGGGCCCCTTTATTTTGTATTACTGAATCCGCCACTGAGCAGTAATTGTCTACAATTTATATGTTCATTACATTCTTGACTGTGATGAAAATCTCAGATATTCAAAAACTTACATTATATGCATACACAGAAGTGGAAAGTTTAACTTAACATTTTGATATATGTTTTATGTTGTTTGTCAAATGGTCATATAACCACAACATAAGAAAGTGCACTCTTTAACTTCTAAACAGAACACTATGTCACCTTCAGTCTAAAGTTCAGACCCATATAAATTCATATTTCCTTAGGCCTTAATCATAAGGAAGTCCAATCTTCAAATGTTTAGCATTGATAGCACAAACAATTTTGATTGACTGCCACTGTCATATATCCAAATTTTAGGAAATTATATTTTATGCATGCACCAACGTGGGAAATTTATATTTGATGTTGTTTGTTGAATGGTATGACCAAAACATAAGGAAGTTAATTCTTCAAATGTTTAGCATAGTACATTGTTTATCAATATCATTATACACATGTTAGATCCAAATATGTTTCATGCACGCACCTACATGGAAAGTTTTACCTATTATTCTAAAATTCATCTTATGACCATAACTTTAAAGTTGTAACTTCTTAAAAGGAAAAAGAATAATGCAACTATTTCAATAAATTGTACTCTGACCAAAACCAAACTTAAACCGAAAGGTCCACTGATTAATCTCAGATAAGAAAGTATAATACATACTCCAAGTATTGAAATACACGCCATCGTGTTGGGATTCAATATTTCGACATTAATTATGTCATCATCAAAACCAAACTTGGTATTACAGTATTGTACCTTTACCAGCTGGGAAAGTAATCAAATATGCATAATTGTCTTCTTTGTTGGTTGATTGCCAAATTCTCAATGCTTAGTGGATATAACGCGTTGGTGGGAGGATATAATGCGTAACTCTCATAATAATTTCATATTTCTAAAAATTGTTTAGTACAGTATATAGAGTATATTACTTTCCATGACCGATTACATTCACAGGGTGTGCCCCTAAGCCAAAATCTCAAAACTGGATGAAATGAATGAATTGAGTTTTTCGGAATCACAACAGACTGAGTAGGTTACTGGTTAAAATGTAAAAGTTTAAGATTTTATTTTCAAATCACAGGAAAGCACAAATTTATATTCAATACATTCTCGACTGTCATGGAAATGTGGACCTTATCAAATTTGGTTAGCAAATTTGTTATCAATTTTGCTTCGCAACACCCCACCTACTGAATATACAAGCTTGGAAACATTTTTATTTTACTTGCAATTAATGCAGTATTATACGCTTATTAATTAGATTTTTTCTCAATTTCTCATTGTTTTTTTTTCAATTTCTCATTATTTTTCTTCAATTCTTTTTCCACTTCCATCACTGTTTAAATTTGAAATTCACATACCATTCATGTCATTGCTCTTCTTCCGATTCCGTATTCATTTTCTGTCTTTCAGTGCTAAGTTATCACAGTACATCAGGCAGCCGATTTATTTACAGTCCCTTTTTTTTAATCTATATAATATTTCTGTAATTTCAATGTATAATGTTGTCCTATTTTATACTGTATTTTATCCTCTTTTATATAAATCGCATTGAAGAGAAATCTGAAAATACGCTGTATAAATAAATATTATTATTATTACTTACAGTTTACAATGCAAAAATCATTGCACAAAAGGCACAATACCAAATGTGTGACCAGTACATTACGTTAATAAACAAAATAGGCAAACCACTGGCTAAATAAATTCATTGATAGGACCAAATTAATTTGTCTTAACACCAGCTCATTTCAATTACGACTTCACTAATAAATGAATACTAATAACTGAAAGTTTGTAGCTTATAAATATTTAATCGTACACCTTTAGCGCTAAATCAGTCAGAATATAAATACTGAAACAATAGTTATTCATTTCTCATTGTTCCAATATAATATTTAAAGAATACAGTACAATAGAAAAAATGGTAAAACCAAGGAGGAAGCCCTTGGCTGCTGTTTGATATATATACTTTAGGCCTACAATAATATTTTTCTCTCTTAGCAAAGCAGACCTTTTATCACAACGCAAAGGTCAAAATATGAATTACGGTATTCATCCAATTTCATAATTTTCATAAGATACAACAAGTAGCACCCCATCAGTTAATTTGGATTACACTTTCATGGGGACACTATGCCTATTGCATATGATACAATATTTTTTTTTTTACAGAGCATCATGAAAATAGAGTATTCCGCTTAATTTTTATTAATAACATATTACATTGTAAATTCAAAAAATAAAATTACACAAGATATTTTTACTTCACACATGACCAACAAACATCAAGGTACACTAAAAATATTGCAGAATAACGCCACTTATTTATAAATTGTATTTATACAAATGCAATGCATCTCATATACTTATGGTACTTACTGTATATAAAAATCATATATAAAACAAGGTGGTAGATAAACATCAAGGTTTGCTCCTACAGTATAATAAAGCACCCCACAATACCTTGCTGCTGTCCTCTCAAGACATTAATATTTGTTCACCTTCTTATTCTTCAAGCCCTGGCCAGAGATCAAATTTTATTTGACAAAATATGCGACATACCTAAATATGGTGATGATGACATCACACTATGACCATATAATATATGCCTATATTAAAGGCACATCGATCATGACAATATAGAGAAAATTTGACAACCTGGGCAGAGCGTAAGAAATTTTATACTACTGTATACTGTCTGTGAAAACTACAACAGTAAAAATTTCATTAAAACACAAGAATTATTGAGGAATCAAGTAAGGTATAAATTTCCAATGACAAGCCTACATATTGAAACAATATACATAATTTGTCCAATTCTTTGCCTTAAATTTGCTGGTAATAATTTTACTCTAAAAAATGTACTTGATAACCAATCAGAGGTAGCACCAGGATTTTCTTGATGGGGGGGGGGGGGATGTCCCCGATGGGGGACCGACTCCCCTATGAAAACATAAGTGGGCATGGTCGGGCGTCGCTCAAAACCTCTCGAAAGTGATCCATGGGGTGTTCTCCCCAATGAAGTGTGTCTTCATCCCAGACATGGGCCCTGGCCCTCTGCCGTGCCCCCACCCACTCCTGGCACCATCCCTGCAACCAATACTTTGCTTGTGTTAGCTCGTGGTGTGAGCGACGAAATGTACATTTTGACTAAATTTTTGAGAGGTTTTTTAAAGAACCACTGATAGTATACTATTAGCATATCTAAGTATAGCTTTAAACATCTTCTCCATATTCCCACGACCTTGTTAATCAAGAACAAAAAAGTTCACATTTAAAGTAAACCATGCTAATTGGTAAAGTAAACCATACTAATTGGCCTATTTGGAATTTCAACACAAACATTATCCTAAAGTATATTTATTTCAGCCTTCTATTCAAGGTTTATTGTGCATTTAATATATTCAATTTATAAACCAACAAAATGTGATATACTATTACTCTAATAATCATGACAATACTGATGACAATAATGATGATGATTATGATGATGATGATGATGATAACTAGGATTTCCAAAAATATTGAAAATGAAAATAATATTAATACAGTAGCTATTTATATATATATATATATATATATATATATATATATATAGATCAAATTTACATCACAATTATAACACTCACATTCTATAACCTATGATTATCACACTGATCAACAAACCTCTTGTGAATGGACTGCTATGGTCCCACAAAATAATAGGGTGAATGTACGCAAACATGATTCACTCGTTGCATTTGTGGGACAACAAGTGTTTGTGAGACATCGCATGTGTTTGTAGGACATGCTCATATTCATGACTCTGTTCGGAATGGTCAGTACTTAAATTTGATTGACACGCCGAGAGGTCCATTAGACAGAGTTAGTTAGATTAAGTTGATGATTGCCTTTAAACCAAACACTAACATCTAAATAAAATATCAACTTACAAATAAATTGTTTTACTGTAGGTGTGAAGTCATCACTTTTGTTTCCACTGAATTTTCCTATTCCTGACTAATCACTAATCGATATAGTACCTCCAATTTTTTGCATCTGGTGTGCAAAAAAAGCTCAAAGCTGGAGTTATTTTACTACAGTTAGTTACAATTCGATAGAATCATTCATTACTAGACTAAGCAATGAACGCACACAGCGAACCTAACAAATATCGCTCTACGACGCTGATTAACACAAATATAATCTAGACTGTCCTAGGCATGGATAACAAGGTGATTGACTTATAAGAGAACTGAAAAATAAGGCAACACTGAAATAATTCACTCTACTAGGAGGTTAGTACTTAACACTCTGACTGCCAGGGGTTTGAAAAAGTAGCAACAGTCACCGCCAGACATTTTAGCAAATTTAAACACTTTCCGAAGCTTGTCTTCAGGCAATTTTTTCAAGAAATTTTGGCTCCTTCGGCTTCTATTTCCTATAGTGTACTCAAAACCTGACTATAATTGCTTATTATTTGAATATCTGTAAGCTAACTAATAGTTTTCAACTGTTAATCAGAATTTTTTTTTAATTCCCCACAAATTAACCAAGCCGTTAAAATAACATTATCTTTTGCAAATCATTTAAGGATTTTTGTCATAAAATATCTGTTTAAATCATTGAAAACATTTTTTATCTATAACATATTGACTAATTAATAGCTTAGATGGTTTTTTATAAATTTAAAATATTTAATGTTTTGAGGGATTTTTTTAAATGATAATCTAAAAATTACAATTGCCTCAACCAAGGTTATATATTCATTGTCATTTTGTCAGCAAGATTACGCAAAAACTATGAAATAAATCAATTATAAATTTCAGTGGAATGGTAGATAATCTATGAAAGAGGTGATTTAATTTAATTACAGATTCAATTTATTCTTTGAACTTACCCTCAAACATAAAAGAAAGTAATGGAATCACCCATAAACGGTCTGCGTACTATTTGGTATTCAGGCACAGGGCAGAGGTATGCACTCTAATGATCAGTGTTCTCCCGAAGCCATTTTAGTTGCCAATTTTACCGGTAAAAACGGGAAAACCGGTAAAAATTTTGAGATTGTAAAATAATAAAACCACTGATTAGGTAGTCCAGACTGGTCTTCTTGCAATACATGAACATCATTCCAATCTATACCTAGGCTATGACTAATATGTGGTGTTGTTTTTTCAAATCATTAAACCCCACCCCAATGCATTCACTGCGTGCATAGCTAAATTTTCACGGACAAATTTACCAGTAAAAATGTTTCAATTAGGAGAACACTGATGATTGACTGCTTTAAAACTTTATTATATTATGTATTCAGCGGAAGAAAGGGATCAGAGGTAAATGTTTTGTGTGATTATTCTTCAATCTTTTTCTTTTTATATATTTCTGGAAACTGCCTTTTAATTGCTCCCGTTTCCACTTTTCTCTATATCTTCATGGAAAGTGCATAGAGGCTCTAGCAGTAAGCGCTAAATAAGCACAATAAATAATTAATAATAGTAATAACAATCAGATTGTGAGAAGATGACAACTGTGAAAAAGATCGCTACTCATCTCAATTCAACATCTTGTGTTAATCATCAGCTTCATACTGGCGTAGCTTCTCTCGCAGTTCTTTTATCGTCTTGTTCTTGGTTTGCAACATGCTCTTAAGGTTCTTGTAAGCGCCTGTTTGGCTGAATTTCTTATCACGTTCCTTGAAACCAAACAAAAGTTTAAGAAACAAATAGATATACAATCACTCTTGTATCAGGCATTGCTACTTCAATATTGGAATCTTCAAAGATGTTTCGATGGCATTTGCTAGGATCTGTGGCTCAATATATTAGCTTGTACCAACACACAACTTTTTCTATATATTTGTGTTTGTTATATTGATACATCATGGTATCTTTTATTCAAATAAATTTATTTACATAAAACAGTATATTGCAAAGCTAAATCTGAATTACAAAACTGAGTTGTTAAATAGTAATTAAATACACGAGAATAAAGAAAAGTCACACCAAAACTGCGGCAATAAAAATGTACAGAAAAATATGATAAAAATAGTAGTAATAATAATAATAATAATAATGTACATATGTACATCCGAAATACAAGTAAATTGACTGATTAATCGATTGAATGATTAATAAAATTGCTAACAATGCAAAGAAGAAACATTCACTAAATCCTAATTAGGCCATGTAAAATAAAAAAATTGGTTAGCATCCTTATGTTAATCAATTTTCATGGTAGGGAGGGAGGTTTTGTTTTTTTTTTTCTCGCGTCGAACGTGAAAAAAGAGTGTCGCACGGAAAAACAGCAAAGCAAAGAAGAAGAAAACAACAAAGACCAAAATTGCATACAAGAAATTATGTAATTCATCTATAGCAAGCAGAAACTCTACCTATGAATAACCAGGGAGATGTTTTACATCTCCCGGGAATAACAGTCAAAATGCAATTATCTCTAAATGATCACGTAAAATTCACTCCAACACAACAGGCATCATGGATGCCATGTGGCTACAGTATAGAACAACAGTAGAGTATAGAGCTGCAAATGGTCTGGCTAGCGTTTGGACGGGAGGTACACAAACCTATGATATTAAATAGAGTTTGTAAGTGTTTTGTAAAAAAAAAAAAAATAGGGTATGCGGCGTCTCTGATGGTAAGGAGGGGATGCTAACCGATTATTTTATTTTACATGGCCTTATAATTATTATGGAAAATACCACTCCATATGTAAATGTAAAAGTCAACAAGATTAATATTTATTTCAGTGTTAAATACAATGAAATGAATACAGGTACATAAATGAATACTTTACCTTTTCAGACCATCGTAACTGCTCTTGTACTTCAAGAAGTTTGTGTGCTGTTTCTGCTAGGTTGCCTTGTAAGTCACTGGCCTTAGTTGAACTTAAAAGCAAATTCTGAAGAAGATAAAAGAAACTAAATGTTATTGTGGTTAAAGTATATCCATCCTAGATAGCAATAGTTTTTTCCCAGCATATCTTTGCACAAAGGCCCAACATAAGACCAACAAAGGCTCAACATAAGACCACAGTATCAGAGACCATCAATAAAGATAATACATCAATGTATACATAGAGAAAAAAAATAGATATAAACACAGGCAGCGCAAAGGATTTGCAAAGCTGTCAACCAAGACCAGTGGCGTCTAAAGTAGGAGCGAAGCCTTGGTTCGACGTCACTGGTGCCTAGAAAAACTAGGCATTTTGAGCTGTGCTGAGATGATTCAGCACGCATTATACATAGAATTTTTTTTTTTTTTTTGTAAAGGAAAACGGTCCCCTGTTCCTTTTTTAGCTTTCTTCTGCCCTATGCAGTAGTAAAGGAAATGAAACACAGAAAATATGAGTCTTTCCATGAGCAAAACCATTGACTTATGGAGTACAGATCTTTTGAAATTTCTACACTCTGCCAACTTAAGTGATAATATATGGCATATGTGTTTTCTTGAGTCAGATGTAGTCTAAAGCCTTCTTAAAATATATTCATAGTTTGAGCTGGACTTCATTAAGTTTAATAAACAACCTAGTGAAAAAGAAGACAACTGGCAGTCAACGGCTTCGAGTCTAAGTGATGACAAAAACTTAAGTAATTACTCACCTTCTCCATTTCTGATTTGACAGAACTTATCTGGTTCTCCAGATCACTTGTATCATAAGATGCTTGGCTTGGTTGTTGATTCCTTGCCATCCCAAGCTCCTCCCTGGTTTTCTGAAGATCAGCCTCTAACTGGGATTTATCTTTAAAAGCCTCAGAAGCCTATGGAAATAGAATCAGCAAGCCAGTGGGTATAATTATTAAAATAACCCATGATGTGCCTATATATGGTCATGATGTAATGTTATCATGGCCATATTTAGACATGTTGCATGTTTTGATCCTGGTGGTTACAGGAATACAGTGCCCCTCTCATGGTACTTTATGGCACTACTTATCTTTGCTTCAGGTTTGGCGCAGTTGAATGGTTTGGCTTCCCAACATCTATGTTAGGGTTTTAATCTTTCACTGTACATTTCGCTTGTGTCCTTGAGCAAGGCACTATGTACATTGCTTCTGTTAGCCTGGGTTCCAGGCCCTAATTTTAGGTTACTCACTCTTTATTGCACTTAGTGCACGCCATACCTAATTTAATTGGCGTCCCATACTCGATTTCTTATTTTTCGAATTAGGGCCTGGGCAAACGATTCATGCGTGCAATTTCCCACATCAAATTTGATGTGGGATATCGTATGCATGACTGATTTTGTAAATCACATGATTGGCTAACTACATCTAGATGTGTATAAGAGACAGACTTCATGCATATTAATCAATCTTCGTAAATTTTCAAAATTGAAGATGCGGATGTCTCGACTAGAACAAGCTCCAGCTCCCTTTTGGCTACTTACTTGAATTAAAACAGTTAGTATAACAGTTCTGGCCTGCTGAGAACGACATGGACTGATAACCGTAGGCTATACTTAGGAAACTTGCTCACCGCTAGCTGCTACACAGATTTAGGCCTTTAGGGTAGAATATTGTTAAAAAGGTAGGCCTCTGTAAGTAAGAACTTAAAAATACGGCAAGCCTCTACTACTAGTCTAGGCAAGGCCTACTACTCCTGATCCATCCAGACGAGGCCTGAGCCATCTTCCTGGAAAGTTAAAGTTTTGTTGTATTTGTATGGTATGCCATCTAGTCTAAGCTTAATAGTTTTTGCCATTGCCAAAATTAGTCTTACTAGGGTCTATTCTAAATATTTTAGGCCCGTTTTATTAGGGAGGACTATTTAAATTTAGTCATGCCTAACTAGTTTACGCGAGTGACTCAGTTTCGTGGCTCCAAAAATATAAACATTTGATTGGTTGAAAATGTTTATTTCGGTCCGCCCATTTATCCAAATACGGAACATAAGGTTACGTCATTCTTTTGGCATCCTGGTGCCTGATTTCAGTGTTTTACAAGTCGCTTATTCCGTCTATCTCTAAATTAACTTTCTCGTTGGTGGCGCTGTCCAGAATGAGAAAAATAATAACAAATAAGAGACTTGTGGCAAGTCTATGCTTCTGTCTACCAAGCTGTATCAATGGGTACTATAAACAAATTGCTGGGAGTAACCTACAGTGGACCAGAGTCCTACCCACAGGGAGCATCCCACTCTCATCCACTTCACACTACTTGAAACTGGAGATAGCTCTAGCCCATATAAGAACCATGGTTTGGCAAGGATTTACTTATTACCTTTGCTTCAACCTGCTGTAGCCTTGCTTTCAACTTTTCATTCTCAGATGTAAGCCTGTCAATTTCATTCTGTAGAAGCTGTACACCACCACCCTCCAAAGGGTTCAGCTTCCTCATTTCAAATGTTGGTTTGGCAGTTGCCTGAAAAAAAATACTGACAAAGTTAATAGTAGCCATTAACATTGTGGTGGTCTTAGATACAAAAACAAGACAATTTGGCAAAATTTAATCAACGAAAAAATAACTTACTGCTTTTCCAGAAAATTCCTGGTCTTCAAAGTTAGCAATCATTTCTATCAATTCTCTGTGAAGATGCAAAATGAAAAAATACAAATATTATGTACACAAACTAGATTACAGTTTGGTAATGAAACAAATGCAAGAAGATGTGATAAATACACAATAATGTACTTAACCAAAACAAAGTTAGAAATGCATTTGAACTTTAAAAATAATTTTAATAATTCAGTCGGTGAAAGGGAACACTAAGCAAAATATGTGATGCAATAAAACCTACAATTTGATGGATTATAAGATTTTGTCAGATTTTAAGGATAATTATGCAAATATAGTTACAATGTAAAGCTACAATTTTAATCTAAAAATGTGGGCAGGAGTAGGAATTGACCGGGTGAAGTTAGGCTACCTCTTGCTCAAAACTAATCCAATGCACACACAACTATATCCTCATAAGTATTATACAAACACAAGTCTCGCAATTAAAGACCAACTCCAATTAAAGACCACTTTTCTGTCTTTCATTTTTATTATTCTAATTAGAGACCAAAGCTGCTTAAGACCATAGGAACTCCGATCCAAAAAGTGGTCTTCAATTGTACAATGGTTTGAGGTGAAGTTGGGGCGAGGCGGAGGGAGATGCTGTAGTCATCCAACAACGAAGGAAGTAGAATTCACTGCTTTAGTGAAATAAGACCATGTTGTATTTGTTTTCCTATACCTAGTCGATTTTGGTGGTACATTTTTTCCCTGCGTATGTGTAAATTTGGCAAACACAAGGAAGTAAAAAAAACCTGCCGCACCTTTACCAGGTGGAATTGACCTATGAAATTTTCATCAGATATGAAATTCCTTTTAGATAAAACCTGATGAATTTTTTTAATCAATGAAATTTTTTTATTACCTAATTAATAATTATAAGATATAGTAATATAATTTCACCTGTTTTCTAATTCTGAGATGTTGGCCTGCAGCAGAAGATGCCATTTTTCTGCCTGTTGAAAGAGTTGTCTTAGAAGTAGCACGTTTGTGTGGGTGTTGTTTATGAGCTCTGTTTCAACCTCTCCTCGTAAAACAACTTGAAGCCCATCCAACATTTCAGAGACTTCATCGGCGGTAAACGTATCTTCAGTCAATCTGAACTCAAACAAAAATTAGTGGACTTTAATGAAATTTTGTTTCAAAAAGAAATTGTTCAAAAAAATATTTTTCATGAATAATATCCATCATCAGCTTACCTCTCTATAATAAAAATTGAAGTCCACATCCTTTTCCCAATAAACCACATGTTTTTGTTGCCAAGAAACATTTTTGCCTAGTTCATTCAAGACTTGTTAAAGTTGGTATACTGTACTTTCAATCAGTGTTTGAAAAGTTGCATACTTAGCCAAACCGCAAAATATATAGTAGTGTCGATGAGGCTGGTTTTAGCATCAAGACGACTGGTGATAAAATCTACAGTACCGCCCGTGTTGCTGAACCACAGCACTCGATAATATAGATTCATGTAAGCCCTACTTATAGACTCGAAAACAGCTGAATGAACCTTCAAAATGTGGGTACCGGTGTGGAAACATATTGTGGAAACATACAGTCACTGCCTCAGTGCTCCTGAACCACAGTGATTGGTCTACAAAATTCCTGCTAGACCGCAATATAAAGTAGCATTGATGCGAATGGCGATAAAACTACGGTACCGTCCGTGCTGCCTAACTGCAGTAATCAGTATTTGTAATTATATACATGATAGTAGTATATAATGGTAATTTAAAAATATATTTTTGTATCTATAGTAATATAGTGGGACGACCACACAGACAGCGTGTTAATTACAGCAAAATAATAGCCAAATAGTGAAATATTTTACATGTTTACTTTAAGGTTTAGAGCGATAGCAATGTAGCACCATTGCACTACAGGTGTTTTCTAACTGTATTAAATCTAATTTATATAAGTCAGTAAAATAATGTGTGGCTGGATGCCAAGTCTAAGAAGAAGATTCTACCATGAGAGATATTATTTGTTGATGAGTAAAGTAACTAGAGCTTCTTCCACTCCTCTATAAAAGCAATTATTAGTATTGATCCTGTCATTGTTGTGTTTCTGTTATTAATCTAGATTAGCCATTTCCTCAAGCACTTAATTGGAATTCGAGTAAGTGCTATTGGTCTATTAATCATTATATTGCACTTAGTTTAGTTATTTTAAGTAGACATTTTCCACAAATTGGGAACAGTTTGATCATCTAAATACCATTAAAATAATACACACAAAATGTCAGGGTTCGAATTTCCTTGAAATGTTTAACAGCAAGAAGTTGCTGTGGGCTCTGGCTTTACTACAACAATTTATTCTTCTTCTACAGAAACAATCAACAGTTTTATTACAGTACATTACAACAGTTTTATTGTTTTTAAGGGTAAAATCCGTTGCTAGGCCTAGCCTGGGTTAAGCAAATTGACAGCTAAAAGCTTGCTGTTGATCCTGGGGCTTACCACAGCAGTGGAAGGCCCTTTGTACAGCAATTGCCGCCGGTGCTGTTAGGAAATTCGAAATCTGAAATGTGCAAAGTTTGCTTATGACATGATTTAAAGGTTTTACCGGATATCCTATCAGGCCTTGCTGCTTGTTTTACTTAGTACTAAGGGGTCGTTCACAATTATTAACATTTTCACAAGTGTACAAACAGTACTCTTTTTCGGTACCCCTCCCTCCCCTCTGAAGTGTATAAAAAAATGTTGATTGTGCAAAACCATTCTTCATTTTTTGTGAAGTCAACTAATGCAATGTACTTGGTTGCTTAAAAATGAATATTATATCCATGGTTACATTATAATTTTACCATTATTTCACATAGTACATGTTATTTTGAATCAACATTTTTATTATGCATATGTAAAAGTGTACAAATTTGTCTACCCCTCTCCCCCCCCCAGCGTACTGTTTGTACACTTGTGAAAATGCTGATAATGTTGAACGACCCTAAAGCTATTTAAGCCAATCTTACCGACTATCTTTCAATTCCTGAAATCCTGAGTCAACAGCTTTTAGATTCTGAGTTCTAAGGTAGCGTGAGAATCTCAAGTAATTAACAACAACCTCATGATGATGTTCATTTAGTCCAAGATTTCCAGACTGTTGAGTAAAAAAAAATGAAAATATTAATCAATTATGGTTAAAGATTTTTAAGATTATGAATCCTAAAGCCCTGTCCACACTATCAAAATTTTATTTGACAAAAACATGTGACATGCCTAAATATGGTCACGATGACATCACAACATGACCATATATAAGCATATCATTACTATATATGGGCATACAAGTTTTTTTTATCAAAGAAAACTTGATAACCTCGACAGAGGTTGAGTTGAGTTGTCACATTTTCTCTGTCCAATAAACCAATTTGCAGTTTCAACTGCGCATGCCTTTACCACGGTCAATTAACATAAACAAGCATACACGCAACATGTCAATTGATATTGGATACAGGTATGCGCAGTTCAAACTTCAAATTGGCTTATTAGCTAAAAAAATTATCATCTTGTTAATAAAACTTACTATACATACATGAAACGGATTTTAAAATAACAGGGCAAGTCACTCGGAAAAATCGGTATAGACTTTTGCACTCTTGCTTGCTGCAAGAACCTCACAGAAAATAACCCACCTCCCATTATTTTCATCATGATATTTGCATGTTTTCACTACTGTACTGTATTATCAATTGTCAACCGGAAGGTATAATTAATAATTGCCTTATTGCGCAGCAATATAAAATTTGATGTTTCAAAGAAGCTTATTAAAAACAGAGATCCTGGAAGGGGCTTCTCCCAAATTGGCACCATGCTTTTCTCAAAATAGGACCCTCAGACAGAAATAACTTCAAATTGACCAGAATAGATAAAAAGCGCAGGTATTGGAAGGAGTCAGGGAGTGTTAACCATTTTGGCCAATTAGAGAGCTGGATTTTTCTAAGCTGCTTTACATGACAGTGTGCAAAACCGATATCCATCAACATGCTGCGATATCTTTTAATAGTATCTAGAGTACGGGTGTTTAAAGTTATTAACATGCAGCCACATCCTTGAAAACAAAAAGCTTCATAATAAAATCAATTTATTGTAATTTTATGCAAACCATGAAAATTAATGCTGTCATGAATAATGTATAGGACATGCCACATTGTGTTAATTCTACCATTTTTCTTTATTTTCATTACGCCCGCCACATATACAAGGCATTTAACCATCTCATTCTACCTGTTTACATTCAATAATAAAATTTTAATGTTATTTTCTCCTTCGTCTGGATGTTTTTGGCAAAACGACTTGCTAAGAAAACAAAATTTTATTTATATTTTTTTCCACCCTCCTCTGATGACCTTTAAAAAATAAGTTTGCGAAGCAAGGTATAAAAGAAGTCTCGCTTTAATAAAAACCCATGAGTAATACTGATAACTATAGTAGGCCTATAATAAAGGTGTGTTTACTTTAAAGTTATAAAGTGGGTAAAAGACACATTTTACTTTAGATAAAATTTGACAATTAAGGGACTGCACTAAAATCCAATACCACATTTTCTATGTGAATGAAAGTCAATTTGAAATTTTTACACATAGGTTGACCTTTCGCTGGAAATGCCCAGCTGTTCTGTTACAACGATGAAAATGTGTTGTACTTGTGCGCTTTTTAATGTTTAAATCAAATTGTGTGAAAGTTTCAGAATGTACAAAATGACCAAGCATGTTAATCAATCGGAAACGATATTCAAAAATAATGCAGCTAGTAAACTGCTTTGTTTGTTTTCCATGGCTACGGCACACTGTCTCAAATAAATTGGTCGTAAAATTTGAGAATAATGGAGTAGGCTGCCCTACTAAAGTACATCTGTTTAGAATTCATACAATGACTTTGTTTTTCAGCATTATATGTTTCATAATACTAGGAAAAAGCTGTACAATTGTATTGTTTAACGTTCCTAATTATAATCTGTTGATGATCAACTGAAGATTCTGCACTTTTACAAGTTGACCAAGCATGTTGCTGCATGAATTCGGTCAGGTTGATAATGTTATTTTTCCACAGCTATTTATTTAGATGTGGCACACCATTACTCCATCGTTGTTGGTTACTTTTTAGCAGTTGAAACTGTGTGTAAAAAATTGTGAGCATATTTTAATGGTATTCGTGTGTTTGGATCATCCATAGACCTAGCTACTACTGGGGTTTGGGGGAGCTGATTACTGTAGGTGTAGTTGAATTATCCAGAAATGATGTAAATTTCTCATATAAACTCGCCTCATCATAATTCACCTACAGATTATAGATGTTAAACAACTAGGACTGTAATGCTTTTACATTTTTAGGTTAAACCGAAGAGCAATGTCACAGGTGTATCGGGCTTTGCCATTTAATTCAAGAAATTGTTTAATCCACCCTCCAAGAGCAGGTACATGCATGATTAGATGGTTAAATTTGGGTGATGTTTATCACATCAGCCAATGAAGGGTATTTCAGGAAAAGAGCATTCTTTCCTAGATTTTTGTGTGTAGTAGGCTAGGACGGGCCCTATAAATGGCAATAAATAATGATGCACTTATTCAGTTTCATTTAGACTCTTGCTGTTAAAAAGAAGGAAGTGAATATTTTTACGTGACCATAAACAAATCAGTAAACAAAACATTTACGTGTTAAAATAAATAACACATGCGCAGTCATAGTATCATACTATCACGTAAATTTATCGATTCTGGTTAAATGTACGTTAAATGCGAGTTCAACTTCACAGCACTTGAAATTAGCAATGCATCGGCCCAAGCCACGGTGCCAAAGCTCACCACGCCACTGATTTAATTATAATTTTGTTTTTATCATTAAACGTAATTTCATTTTCTACAATAGTGTGTAGTGTAATCATTTAATAAATTATTAAATCATTGTGATAACTTTCAAATAAAGGCGATATTATGAGCTGGAAATATTTGTGTTCTTTTCATTTTACTCGCGTCATTTGTTGAATGAACACACACGTACAATACCAGGCCTACGCCGAAACATGGAGGTTCCCTGCTAAAACTAGCACTTAATTTCCACAAAAACAAAACGATATTCTTCTGGGCCTAAGCCTGTATTGTTGTACGATAGTCAATCATCGCAAATAACAGTTTAATGTTTTAATTCAAACACATTTACCGACATTAAATAAAAAAACAATATCGTTTAATATTGTATTATAGTCTTTAAGTCGGTTCAAGAGTCGAGCCGCACATTTTACATACATTTAACCAGAATCGATAGATTTATGTGAACGATAATACAAGTTTATTGAAGTATAACTGCACGTGCGTTATTTATTTCACGTATATATTTTACTGATTTGTTTACGGTCACGTAAAGGCCTAGGCATAGGCCTATATCCACTTCCAAAAAAAAAGGCAGAAATGAATTAATTATTCCTTTTAATACTATTGATTAGCCAGCACTGTAGTGAAAGTGGTAGCTGCTTGTTATATGCTGTAGTACTAGGCCTAGTAGTAGTAGTAGTAGTAATGCACTTTTATCTTAATATTAAAGAAAACATCAACATAAACACCATGTCTGGTCTACACCAGGGGTTCTTATCCTACGTAGGTCCTAGGCCTAGTAGGTAACCGTCACTAGGCTTAAGTGAGAAAACTGGCCTGTCTACCTAGGCCCCTTGGCCCGTGGTGTCACTGATGATAGCCTCGCCTAGCTTGCTGGTGGAGCCACCTTCTTGCTAAAATTAGCTCGTCATAAAAACACACGCAATGCCTCGATTGAAAGTTCTGCATTTAAATGAATCATAGAAATTAGATCTATCATATATATTAATCATCATACTTACCATTTTAATTGTTTACTGAATTGTGAAAAAATACGAAATTTTCAAACCTTTCAACCTACATACAGCCGTCAATCTACAAGCAAGCGTCTCTGTCGCTATAGCGCAGAAAGACAGGTTACTATGGCACGCCATTAGTGCCTTAAGGTCAATTAGAAGTCCGATACTAGCTCACTTGAATTGCGGCAATACATTTATTTTATTTGTGGTGTTCTTTAGACATTAAGCTTTCTTTATTTTTACATAAATACTTTAATAATCATATTTTCCAAGTGGGAAGCCATCAATACCAAGAAGATGGTGTTAAATGCCAAATAGTTATATAGAATCAAAACTGAATGGTCAAAGGCGCTGCGTTATTACCCCTGGTCGTCACTGGATAACATGCAAGGTTTATTCCAAAATATATCACAGTTAATAAACTGAATTACAACAAATGGTTAAAAAAATATAAAAATATTATATTTATTGAAAACATTTATAAACAACAATTCAACAAGGTAAGGAAATTAATAAATGTACGGTTACGAATATAGTTGAAAAATTGACACCAAAATATATTAAAAATTGAATTTATAAATCGAGTAAAAGATAAAATTAAGAGAGAAAAAATAAATGGGATTTATAAAATTGGATTACAAAAAAAATAAACGGAAATGCAATGGCAAACCAGCACAAAGTGCAAACTTCTCTGCTCCCTTAATAATAATAATAATAATAATAATAATAATAATAATAATAATAATAATAATAATAATAATAATAATAATAATAATAATAATAATAATAATAATAATGCATTTATAATGCGCCATCTACCTAGGTAAACCTATTCCGAGGCGCACACAAACATATTAAACATGGAATATAAAAAAACAACAGGGTATGGTACCAGTCAGCGTGAACACTGCTTGGGTATTTACCCAAGATCGTGGGTATTTTGACTTGGTCTTGGGTTCTCGGGTATTCCGTTCAAATCCTTGGGTATTTTATTTTTCTAAGAAAATTAAATATTGTTAATTGACTGTAAATTGCTAATTGCATGGGTTCAGAATTGTTTATTTGTGATTTGCGTTGCCATTGATCTTACCTAATTAATGTATTGTGACATAATAAAACTTGATCACTGATCTACTGATAACACTGGCCGACTGAGGGCGTATTATCACCTCATGAATATTAATTTTAATAATTAACACAAACAATTACAATATAAAAAATGGTTTATAAATTGAACTAAAAGGGAAACTATACATGCGAAAAACACGTATTTTTCCAATTTTAATGCATTTTCAGGAAGCTTGGGTAATTTTGGGCAATTTTTGCTGAATCTTGTGTAATTTCGACCCAGTCGTTGGGTATATCAAAAATTGTGAGTGGTCCCCCTGGTACCAGTCACGCTTGTACTCAGCGCACGATACATTCACAGCATAGCATCCTACCAGGTACCAATTTATACTCCTGGGTAGAGAGATAAAGTGCCTTGATGAAGCGACTTGCACAGCGAGAGTTTCGAATCCCTGGTGGTGTCCAAGCTATACCCGATCGCCAACCGCTCGATTCTACCTCTCTATTTGGATTCCGAAATTCGAGTTCATCCAAAGAGACATGGCTGCACAGTGGTACAGCAGTTACCAATCGACAGAGTCCCATATGTTTGCCACGTATTTAAACCGCGCAGCATCATTATCAAACTCCCAGCGCACAGAGTAGACGTCAGGATTTTAGAAAGGGGGTGTTGTAAAAAAATATTACATTCATAGAAGTTTACGCAAGGTACAAAACTAGACGGAGCATATCGATGGCTATGACTACATATATAAATTGGTTTTTAAAATTTACAATTAATTTTTTAATTGAACAAAGTGCTCAGGCACTGGCCGTGAGTACAACCCTCCTTTACACCACACTGTACCAAATGCCGAAAATCGAACATTCATAAGCAATTTTAACATCAGCGATAACATCAGATATGTCGTCTTTCAAAATATCACCTTTCTGAAGTAAAGACTGGGTAATGATATTAATAATTTAACGTCGTTCAGAGTCTTATTAGCTCAATTAATTACATGCCGCTGCCGCCTGACGGTCTGTCGTAGTAACGTGACCACAGATCATTTGTACATAATTCTGTCATAGAAACTCAATGAACACTTTTAATTCTATTTATTATCCCACTCCATGGTTTTTCTCGACCAACGCATTCCTATACATTCCACTCAATTCGCTTCATCGGCACATTAGGCCCTACTGTCCCACGTCAGAGAACTGGAAGTTTTTCTTTTCCTTGTCACGCTCTGCCAACTTCTCTGGAATAATCAACTTCAGGACATTTCTGATCCCAATATTTTTAAACGGGCACTTAAGACTCTCTTATTTGCATAAATCTTCCTATTATTATTACAGGCATTTTTTTTTTTTATGTTCAGTTGTGTTTTGCTTTTGTTAATTGTTTCACAATACAATTGTGGCGCTCAGATTTCTGTTTAATGGACCTGTATTACATTTCCCTGACCCTTGGAGTGCGCTTTATAACCGAAAGGAAAAGGCGCAATTTGAATGCTCGTTCACAGTACCAGTAACAATGATATTATTGTTATGCTTTTCTGCCATAAAACAATCCTGATATTATGGTAGGGGATAGTTTTGTTGTACTTGTGGATTTTTAAGTTGTTATGTATTCCGCGTCTTCTCAAACGTCACGTGGTCGTTAGGCCTATGGTCCTTTTGGTTTGTATTTTGTAAATTGAAAAATAGATAATTATATAGGCCTAACTTTATTCAAAACCTGAAATGACTCTCTATTCATGTTAAGTCTACAGGCAATGATTCAAGAATGTTCAGTTGCTTAATTAGGCCGTATATAGGCCTATCATTAACCAAACATGTTAAAGGCCTAAATGAAATTCTTTTTGCTAGCTGCATACAATGAAAGACACAGAAAAACAATTAAATATTTGGAACATCGAAAAAAACAGCAAACGGACACAATATGATTTATAATTAATGACGTAGGCCTACATCTTATCATTGCAAATATACCTTAAATTCATAGCTACTTTATTTAATTAAACATTAAGGAACATTTTTTAACCATTCTAAACGATTTGAAGCAAAAATCAAAACAAATAATTATTGAACCGAGGCCTCCTACATACAACAGTACGATCAGATCCCAAGGGTCACTAAATGATAACCCACTTCCGCTTTTGGGGAATGCTGGGAAGCGTACCCATGCTGGCCAAATCCAATATGGCTTCCTCTGTTGGTAAGACACCATCTGTTTGCTTGCTTATTATTTTCATATTTCCTAGCTAGTAGATGATTATTATAATTTGTTTAACGGTGAATTATTATTGTATGTTAGACATATATTATGATTATTGTAGTGTATGCAACTGATAATATCTCTAGATTAATTACTTGGTTAATGATGAAAAGCTCCCGTCAAAATGGTCACGGTGGGCCTAGCCTACCGAACACGTTACTTGAGTGACGTCCACGCTGCCAGTCGGTTTTGGGACCATGCTGGCGCGAAGACTAATAAGACTGTAAATTTATGAATGGTTTTATTTCTTTTAATTCGCCATACTTGTTTGGGCGATTTACTGCGCAAGGTGTAGCTACAGATTAGAAGGCCACCACCAGTCTGCAGTCCCAATTTACAAATCCGTCAGAGTCTTGTAAAAGTAAAAAATGGGAAATCTCCCTCCTTCCTTCCTTCCTTGCATTTTTGCAAAGAAAGCCCTCCCTAGGCCTAGCTCAGAGCGCAGTGCAAATGATGTGCTTTCTGATGATTTTCCTTCATATCCAAAATCTTAATACTTTAATTCCAGAATACTGTATATTTAATTAAAAATCATTCTTAAGAAGAAACCCAGGGCGGCGCCAGGAATTCCCTGACGAGGGTCCAAGCTCCCCGAAAAAACGTATCTGGGCAATTTCATGGTGGCGGAATCACTATTTTGCTGAACTTTTTAACTTTAATCTAATGTCATATTTAAACTCCATTCTAATTCTTGGAATAATTATCATATTTACATAACTATGGAATCCATCTATAATTTCCACCCTAGTTTTTTTTTTTAAACCTATCACAATTTTGATATAATATCAAAAAATATGTATGGTAGCGGAAAGACAAAAAAAAATACCCATTGATAAAAGTGCATTTGAAATTAATATTCATGAAAAACCTTCTTGACTAAATGTAAAATCTTTCACTTTTTATGAAAACAATGCTGAAGCAATTCACTTGGTATTTGAAACAAAATTTATTTTACTTTATCAAGTCTCAAACACAATTATAAAAATTATGAAAATTAATAAAAATAGTGGATTGTTTATACTGTAATTACCAAAACACAATAACATTATATTTTTAGTCTAGAGTTTGCCTATCTATACTTAAAAACATTCTGAGAAATTTAGTTGTTTAATTATTTAACTTAATCAAATATATAATATCATTTATGAATATAATTATAGTAGCGGAATGACATTGGAATATTGCTATAATTTACTGGTGATTCTTAAGTATTCACTTAAGCCTGTAGCCAGGATTTTGGTAGGGGGGTTCTTTTTGATACTGAAAGAGCACTTGCGAGCACCATTGGCTGGGGCCAGGGGGGCCGACAAGTTCCCCCGGGGGGTCGAGGGCCAAAACCCCGGTGGGGTCCAGCATTCTAAGCATTTACATGTGTTATTTAATTGATTTGAGAGGCCATACATTAAAAAAAAATGTATATATTAAAGAGGTATATTAAAGAATCCAGTATGGTTTATTCTTTATTTTTTATTTATATAGCACTTTGGAAGTTGTATCATACTATACTCACTTAAGACAATCAGCAACAAAAAGAACCGAGACAAATTTGTATGGTTGGTTGTAGCGTATTATAATCATATATATACACAGGTGAAACTATCCCCCGCCGGACACCATCCCGGTATTTCTGAGTCAAGGTTTCAGGGCCTGAGTTTTTTATGTTGCTAGGTAGGCCTAACAATCGGGTATTAAAGTAGGACTTTTAATGATGATAGGCTCTAGGCTAGGCCTAAAGTGTAGGCTAGCCAGCCTTTGTTGAAAGGGCACTTCACGAAAGTTCGAACCCAACGAACCCACCTGGCTACGGGCTTGATATTAACAAGACACAAAAGCAGCATGTGAATTTTCACAAAATTACAGATGTTAATGGTCAATCTGTTTGTACATGGAAGCATTAAAATCCCACAAAGCATCAGTTCTCTGCAGCAGTATGGCGATCTCAATGATAAAAAAAATTACAAGTGATGCAGTATTCTTTTAAGATGCATAAGAATACATTCGTCACTGGTTTGTGAGCCAATAGCAAGCACTTAAAATTAGTAAGTGGAGTAAAAACCAACCATACAAATTTAAATAAGTTGTTTATTATAAGTTAATTTATTTGATTAACAAGTACCTCTTTGAAGCAAAACTCTAAAGTAGAAAGTTTATTGGAAGTTTCTGAGAAAAGTGCACCTCGCCCTTTTCCCATACCTAAACTTGCATTTGAACAACAAAGTTGATCCAAGCAGGGAGTTGCTAATTAACAACTCCCTGATCCAAGCTTCAATTATTGTTTATTTGTATCATTTAACCATGAAATTTGTTAATCCATTTGATACTTGGAAAAGAAGTTGAATTTTGTTGCTATCTTAGTGGGTAGCATATTTTGGTAGCGGAAATACACGTCATTCCGATACTACATTTGGTAGCGGAATCACGTTTTTTAAACCTTTATTTCTAAAAATATTTAAAAAAAATTTATTTAAAGCCTATTAGTTTCTGATACATCTATCAGTAGTCTATTATCACTTGTACTTTCATTTTTGAAAAATCAATACTTTTGGAGAAATTTTAAAAAAAATAACTTTTTTGGTAGCGGAATCACATAAATTAATCAAATTTAAAAAAAAAACAAAAAAAATAATTTATTATTTAAAAATTATAATTTTTACCTTAAAAAATGATAATAGTACCTATTCTTTTGTAAAATAACATGAATTTAGAATTTTCCAACATATACATTCTGCATAATAATTGCATTTAAGTAAGCTATTTTTTACTATATTTTAAAATTTAAAAGTACTATGTATTTGGATCATGTTTTTCACATTTTACCATTGAAATACCAAAATATTGATTTTAGATCTTAATTCTATATAAAATGAGCTTTAGTTTGATACCAAACTTGATGGGATTTGATAAGTATGAAAAATTACAAAAAAATCACTCTGCACTATGAAATTGCCCATCTACTGTATGTTCTTGGCTTCATAGTGTCACAACCGATCAGTGGTGGCGCCTGCAAGGGTGGGGTGGCTAGGGGTGCTATAGCGCCACCACTGCAACCCATGCCATGCGATCGCAATAGTATGTAACACCTCGCACATACAGTATCATTGCTTGGACTAAACAGTTTTTAATCCCTAAAATAAAACTTGACAGATTAGTAAGTCATATATATGCTTGAATTGTACTTTCGGCGCTTGAGATTTGATTTTTCCCCGACGACCTTGCTTGGAATTCCCTGACGGGGGTCCTTTTTCCCCTGAAGAGACCAAAAAATCATATGAAGCAAAAGGTACACTAATGTTACTAATTAGTACATACAGTATCATAAAATTTAAGTAGCCTACTGTCATTTGTAGGTTTTTCAAAACTTCTCAAAACAAGTCTTCAAATACAAAATTTCGTAGAACCTAATAATTTGTCGTGAGCAGTGCTGGCGCCAGTGGTGGGGGTACTGTAGTTTGGACGAGAATTTTCATTTGTAGAGCTTGTTATAGGCTTTAGATGTTTCTTATTTACAGTAAGTCATAGAAATTATATGTAGACATGTTGCTGAGAAAAAAAAAATTGTAAAAATAGTAAGGTGGTAAAAATTAAAAGCACCTTGATATGGTTCTTATTGTGGAAGGCACTATAAGAATACATGACCATTGACCTTTGACTTTACAGGTACAAATAATACTTGTAATTTAATTACCTATGCAGGAACTTCTGCTCCCACAGGGAAGAAGAAAGGCAAAGTAAAGGGAAAGACGTTAAACTTGAATGAATTTCTTGGAGGAAGTGAAGGTACAACCGCTCCAGGCAATAGCTATGTCCTTAGAAGTCAGTCATGGGCTGATGCGTCAGAAGATATTGATAATAATGGTAATTATTTGTATTTTTATTTGTTACAATACATATATTGTATCATCTATTTCACCTTATATAAAAATAAAATGCAAAGTAATTCAATGAGGCAGAACTATCTATTGGTATGTTATAAAAAAAAAATTTTTTAAAAATAACATAACAGCCGAGAGGCTACAGTATCCACAAAGAAAAACTTTACATAGAAATGGACATGCACAGTATTGATACTAAGAAGGGAAAAAAAACATTAAAAATTAATTGCATTAAAATATTGAATATTAGAATATTTTATTTAGTTCATTCTGAAATTACAGTAAATTTTAAGACATAAAAAAGAAACAAGGATTTCTTGGATAATAACGTGAAAAGTAAAGATTATGCAGCTCAACTTATTTCTGCTGTGGTCCACAGCCACTGCTTACTCTTTTGAGGCTTTTATCTTCTTTATCATGATTAAAATTTGTGCAAAGCAGAGAATGTAATTAAACTGTCTTTATATTGTTTACATGTTTGGAATAAAACGGGGCTGAAAATGGTAAAGCTATGTAAAACTAGAAATACCTCAATGGAAAAGAGCTGATAGGAAAAGAATTCAAAGATCAATTACAACGCGAGTACTGGCTACTCGGTACTGGGCTTGGTCTACAGGAGCTTGTGCTTCATACAGGTCAAACCCAGTGCCGTTACGATTTTTAAGTTAGTATAATACATACTCCAAGTATCGAAATGCATGCTATCGTGTCGGGATTCAATATTTTGACATTAATTTTGTCATCATCAAGAATGATGATTTTTAATCGTGCGGGAAATTTACTCATGAACAATTTAAATGTAAAACTTTATTAGTCAGCATGTATTATCTGTTTTTTTTTTGTTTGGCAGTGTCTATTGTTACAACAGTCTTAAACCAATTCTTAATGTACCTTTCCACTAAGCCCCTCCCACAAAATGACAGAGTGTCAAACATATGCAAACATGTGCGTTTGTGGGACAACACATGTGTTTGTGATACGCGTGTATATTCCTGGCGCTGTTCTGATTAGTCAGTTGTTAAGTTTGACACTCCGGAAAGGTCTATTCTGATTAAATTTTATTGTCCTAATTTAATCCAAACATAAATAGCACCAAATCAGAATTAGGAATTGGTTTAAAAATAGCCACTGCCTTTTTGTTTTCCAGAAACAATATAAGCATTATTATACATGGCAGTTTATAACACTTTACAATGTACATACAAGAATACATTGATTCAATTAAAGATCAAAGTAAGAACAATATTTTAAAGTTTTTCTGACTGATTGCATGCAGGTTCTGATTATCAAGACGACTATGGAAAATCCACAGTGAATCGGGCAGCCCTGCCGACAGCACCTAGAAGTGCTCAGCCAATAGAAATTGACAAGAGCATGCTGCCAGAGAAGCCTCCATACACCGTTTTTATCGGTAATTTGCCGTATGACGTCGATGAAGAAGACATCGTAAATTTTTTTCGTGGTTGTAACGTAAGTGTAATTATAATTCTGTCTTATTTTATTGTGGAATTTTCTTTTTCAAGCTTGTCCCCAAAAATGTTAAGTTAATTATGTATGCAAGTACAGTTGTTCCTGATTACATGCTAGCATACACAATATATTGTACTTTTACAAAACCAGCAAATTCCCCTAGAATTTATTCAAATATTATTTTGTTAGCCTCATTTTGAGAAGGTTGAAACATTAACCTACTGTATATACTCACGAATAAGGCGATCCGCATATGGGACGACACCCCTTCCCCCCCCCCAAAGTTTGAAAAGATTTTTGTATGTCA